CCCCCCCCGCAAGGCAGTTGGAATTTTCAGTTTGGAGAGGAGAATGATGTCAGCTGCTCCCTAGGCAGAGGCTGTGTGTGTGTGTGTGGGGGGGGGTTGTAAAGACAGACAGGCAGATAAACGTTGGCTGATGGTTGCCAACTCCAGGTTCGAACTCCAGTACATAGGGTTGCCAACTCCAGGTTGGAAACTTCCAGGATATTTTAGGGATGAAGCCTGCTGAGGGTGGGATTTGAGGAGGAGGAGGAAGAGGGGGACCTCAGACAGATACAATGCCATGCTGCCCACACTCCAGACAAGCTGTTGCCAGTCTCCAGGTGACAGCTGGAGAGATCTTAAAGCTTTGGTGCTACTTCAAAGTTCCCCAGGAGCCCAAAACAGAGTAGTGTTTTGGAAAATCTTTAGGAATTGTTTGGTGCATTTACGATGGGGCTCCTGGGGAACTATTGTTGCCAATCTTGGCCCAGCAGCCATCAAACCATTCTCTTCAACCCCCTGCTGTGCAGCTGACTTTCCCCTAGGGTTGCCAATCTCCAGGTGGGACCTGGAGATCTCCCACTGCTACAATTGATTTCCAGATGACAGAGATCAGTTTCCCCTGGAGAAAATGGCTGCTTTGGAGGGTAGACCCTATGACATTATACCTGCTGAGTCTTTCCGCCCCCCCGCCCAATGCTGCCCTCTACAGAATCCACCCCCCAAACCTCCAGGGATTTCCCTCCTTAGAGCTGGCAACCCTACATTCCCCTCAGTGCCTGTTGGTAGGCAACTAAGCTTGGTCCTGTCACCTATTTTGGCCTTTGGGAGAAAACACATTGGGGCCAGTCCTGATAGGGTTGCCAACTCCAGATGGGAAATTCCAGGAGATTTGAGGGATGGAGCCTGAAGAGGGTGAGGTTTGAGGAGGGGTGGGACCTCAGACAGGTACAATGCCATAGACTCCACCCTCCAAACCAGTCAGTCCCTCATGGGGAACCATTGTTGCCAATCTCCAGGTGAGGGCTGGAGACCACTCGGAATTACAACTACTCTGCAGAAAGGAGGGCAGAAGTCAGCTGAAGTCAAAGGGGCAGATAATGGTAGGCTGATGGTTAGCTGGGAAGGAGATGGGGTTGCCAACTTTAGGACGGCAAATTCCTGGGGATTTGAGGGGTGGAGCCTGGAAAGGGTGGGGTTTGCGGAGGGGTGAGACCTCAGACAGGTAGAATGCCATAGACTCCATCCTCCAGACCAGCCATTTCGTCCTGGGTAACAATTGTTGCCAATCTCCAGGTGAGGGCTAGAGATCACTCAAAATTACAACTGCTCTTCAGGTAGCAGAGATCAGTTCCTCTGGAGAAAACAGTGGACTCTGTCATTATACCCTGCTGAGGTCGCCACAGTAAATTGACACTGTTTGCCCAAAGCCAGAGCACTCTCCCAGAGCCTCTTTCTAGATCTCATTGTATTTATTTCCACAATGGGCCTTATTCCTAGTAAAAGAATAAAACTAGAATGTCAGAGGGAAAGGGTGGCTTCACCATGAGGTTAATCTCCAAAAGGAGGGAGTTTTTTTGAAGGAGCAGCTCTCTGTCAAGACAGACCCACCTTATAGGCTGAACTGATGGTAAAAGTATTACATGGCATCTGCCACCAGTCAGAAATGCACATGCTATAGCTGCCCCAACCCATCCTATTTGTTAAGCACAGATTAATAGCTGTCCTTGGTTATTGAGAAGGCTTTTTATTCCTCAGATAAATAGCTGTGCAGCTGGCATCAGACAGGTCAGATCCATTGTACATAATATTTTCTCTTTACATACTCGAAATCTTAAGAAGGCCGGCTTACATTCATGGGGCAAATCCTGAGTCCTACTTTCTGGGAGCTTGTTTTCTAAATCTTTCTCCAGTCAGTGCAAACCATCATCCCTGTGTGTGTGTGTATACACTCATTCACCTACCCACCCCCGAAATAGATCTTTCAGCATCTTGTCTGTTTTGACTCTCAGACATCACAATGTGAGACGAACCCTGTCCTCAGAAGGGTGTAACTGTTTTGGATTGCATTGTACCTCTGTATACTTTTCAAACAAGAAACTTACTTGTATATTTCAGAAAGTTGCTTGTATAGTGGAACTGTGTTGATATCATCAACTTTCAGTTTGAGTCTTCCCCACTCTGCCTTGGACACTTCCAATTGTTTCCATAATGTCAGGTAAGATTTCAACATGGCACATGAGCCCACAGAATCCCGCAGCTCCAGCAGAACTCTAGAAGGCTTTTCATTTACTTCAGCAAGTCTTCCTGAACTCTGCTGAAATAGTTGTGGGTAAATGTATAACCAGAAATTGTTAGGAACAGAATATTAAGCCCCTGTGCATTAACCAGAGATGTAGATTATACAAATTTGCCAAAGTCATTTAAATGGAAAACATAGAAGAGCTTATGTTTAAAAGATAAAAGAGCTGATGCAAAAAAAAGGCTGAGTCTTTGACCCATGTCCAAAGGTTAAAAAATGTGCAGAGATTCTTCCATAAGTTAGTAAGATGCTTTGTACAGGTATTACAACTGTTTGAATCTAGCTCTTCTGGGAAATGTACAAATTGTCCCAGTGCATTATCTCAGAAAGAACGAATTCATCTTCATGATAGCTATAATGTATTATTTATTATTTCAACTTATAGCTCTCCCTCCCCCATATACTGGGCTCAGGGTGGGGAATAACATTTCCAATAGCAGCATTCACTTACGGGTTAAAATGTAAAAGCTTAAAAAGTTAAAAATAAACTTAACAATTTAACAATTTAACTGACAATTTACAGATGGTGCATAAAACAGACAATTTAGTGTCCTTTCTCCATAGAGGGAAAAGGGAGGAAGGAGCCAGGCTAGATGGAAAAAACCATTGCAGTCCTCAGCCGTAGGCCTGGCAGAATATCTCTGTCTTACAAGCCCTGCGGAACTGCATTAGGTCCTGCAGGACACAGATGTCATTTGGCAAAGAGTTCCACCAGGCCTCTGGTTGAGGACAACTGGATACTTTTCAGGCCAGGATCACCAGTAAGTTCTTCTCAACTGAGCGTAATGCTCTTTCGGGGATATACCAGGATAAATAATTTCACAGTTCTGGAAAACTAAACCCATCTTTAATCTACAACTTTGGTATTCAAAACTATGGCATTTAACTGTGATGGAAAAATTACTTTCCAAATTAAATTAGCTAGAAATCTAACTAAATCAGACAACTTCTATAAAACGTGGTGCCCTTCCCTCAGTTGTGATCACCTGGACCCTGATATTTTCCTTCCATCACAAAAAAATGCTCTTTTTGGTCAGACATATTCTATTTTTGTAACTTTGTTACCTACTGTATAGAAATATTGATTTCTAAATGTCTCCTGCATTCTTCTGTTCTGTCTTTGATAACGCTGTGCCTTGTTTCCTCTTACAAGCCAAATGCTGAGGCCACATGGCCTCAATAGCATGCCATAAACCCACATTCCTTCACACGATCATGCCAAAAGCCAGTCCTGATGGCTGGCTCACAGGCAAAAAGTCACGTCAGCAATGGAGAAGCTGGAGCTTGGGCAATACCCCCTATATATGGAAAGCCTGACCACCAGGTCGTGACATCACTGCCATGGCTACGAGAGTAGTCATAACAATCCCCCTGTGCTTATGTGGGGCTAAGCAGAGGGCTGCTGTTTTGTGTAATGATTTCAGTTAATTGGTTGTGTCCCTTTAAATGTGTTGTTGAATTTTGCAGAGTTATAGAGTTTGGAGTTAAGACTGTGAGGAATGTTTTGTTGAATGTAGCAGAGTATGAGGAGAATTTGGCAGTTTGAATTCAGTTGATGTAGTGTTGGATAAAGACTTCAATAAAAGACTAGTGTTGCCTGTTTGTGTGAGAGCATTGGTTTGCATTTGTTTGCATTTTTATGGCCTCTCTTCCTGTCTCTTTGTTTCTTTGTTCTGACCAAGAAGCCAACCATTTTGCCATTCCAGTTTAGCTGTGAGGATGTAGAGATTTTTGCTCTTTGTTATATCCTATGCACCTTTTCCAATGCTAGGTTGCAGTAAACTTTTATATTTTGAACACACCATGGACTCTGCCTCTTTAATACTCTGCTAACAAACTTTAAATAAGAATCCCAACAGTTTCTGTCCTTCAGTTCTGGATTAAATATGCCTTTTCGCTGTTGTGTTCCTGAATGCAAAGGGAATTATTTTCTCTCTTCTGAAAGAGAAATGGATTACTTCCATCCATCACCATCGTCACAGGTGAGTAAAAGTGTATCATGTTAATGTGTAGCATACAAACTGTTTTCTAAACTAAGCTTATGTGCAGTGCAAATAATTTTGGAAATTATGCTCTGAACTTCATAAACTGTGCAGTACATTTTGGATAGCTGTCAGAGCCACAATTTTGTACGCAATTGTGTATTTCAATTACCTGGAGTGCTTTTGCCTTACAGGTATGTGTTCTTCACTTTCAAACCAGTGACGTCTTATGGCACACAGAACTGTTTGATGAAAAGACAGGCCAAAAGCTTGTTGCCCCCCTCAAAAAACCGAGACTTAAGAATGGTGCTGTACCTTCTGTGTAGCAGTCAATACATTCCTG